AGGTCACTAAGGGAGTGAATATAGACAGAGAAGACAGACGGGGCCCTTGGATGCGAAGAGACTGGGAAGGGGAACCAATACCTGAGACTGAGAAGAGGTGGCTACAAAAGGAAAAGAAAAAGCAGGCAAGGTTTTTGTCTTCGAAGAAAAACAAGAAAGCACTTCTAGGAGGAGAGCGTGATCAGCTGGCCAAGGGCTGCGACGAGCCAAGGAGAGAAGGAGAAAACATTGGACTTAGCCACAAGGAGGTCACTGGTGGTCTGGATAAGAGCAATCTGGGTGGCAGGGTGGGGACAAGAGTCTAATTAGAGAGGTGTGAGAGTGAATGAGAGGAGAAAAATCAGAGACAGTACGGACAAAGTGGTTGCTGTGAAGGAATGGAGAGGAAGAGGGGTGTGACTAGCTGGGTAGTAGGACCGAAAGAGGTTTGCTTGCTTGTTTGCTTGTTTGTTTTCAGATAGGAATAGCTTATGTATATACTCATGAGACTAATCCAGCTGGTTCTTCGAGATCAGTAAAAATGATAAATGCCTGACCAAACTAATAGAAAAAAGTCAAATTACCAATATCAAGAATAAAAAGATGTAATCACTACAGATTCTATAGAAATTAAAAGGATAAAAACAAAATGTTATGAATGACTTTATGTCAATAAATTTGACATCTCGAGTAAATGTACAAATTCCTTAAAGAACTCAACTACCAAAGAAGAAATTAATAAACTTGTATCCATCGAAGAAATTGGGTTTGTAGTTAAAAATTACAAAAAAAACCCTCCAGGCCTGGATAGCTTCATGGGTGAATCCTGTCAAACTTTTAAAGAAGAGATAATGCCAGCTCTATATAAACTCTTCCCAAAAGTTGAAATGAAAAGGAAGTCTCCCCCACTAATTCTATGAAGCCAGAATTCCTCTGATACCCAAACCAAAGACATGAGAAAACCACAGTCCAATATCCCTCCTGAACATAGGTGCAAAAAATTCTAAACAAAATTTTAGTAAATCCAACCCAACAATATATCAATCCAGGAATACAAAGTTGATTTAACATTTTAAAATCAATCAATGTAATTCACCATATTAACATATTTTAAAAGATGCAGAGAAAGCATTTCACAAAATCTAACGTCCATTCTTGATAAAAATTCTCAGTAAACTAGAAATATAAGAGAACTTCCTCAACCAATGAAAAACCTACATCTACCATACTTAATAATGAAAGACTGAATGCTCTCCCTCTAAGACCAGAATAAGACAAAGATGTCTTCTCTCATGCTTTCTATTTGGCATTGAATAAAACAGAATAGAGAATCCAGAAATAAACCCACACATATATGGACAACTAATTTTCAACAAAGGTGCAAAAGCAACTTGGTGGAGAGAGATCATCTTTCAACAAATGGTGCTGGAGTGAGTGGATATCCACATACAAAATAAATGAATTTCAATTCATACCTTGCACCATATACAAAAATTAACTCAAAATGGACCATTGACCTAAATGTAATTGTTTTATACAACTGTAAAACTCTAAAACATAGGAGAAAACCTTTGTGACCTTGGGTTAGGCAAAGATTTCTTAGATATGATATCAAAGGTACAATGCACAAATGAAAAAAAAAATGGATAAACTGGACTTTATCAAATTAAAACTTCTGCTTTTTATTTTGAAATTAATTTTTATTATGGTGACATTGGTTAACAAAATCCAGTAAGTTTCAGGTATACAGTTTAACAGTAAGGCATATATATATTGCATTGTGTGTTTACCGCCCGTAGTGAGATTTCTTTCTGTCACCATATATTTGACAAAACTTCTGCTTTTTAAAAAACACTGTTAAGAGAATGAAAGACAAGCCAGAGACTAGGAGAAAATATTTGCAAATCATATATTTAATTAGGACCTTGCATGAAGAATATATAAATAATTTTCAAACCACAATAATAAGAAAACAGTACAATTTTTTTAAAAAGGTTTAAATGGATGTTTCACCAAAGAAATTATGTGGATGATGAATAAACCCATGAAAAGATGCTTAACATGATTATTAAGAAAATGCAAAGTAAAATCACAGTGAGATATCATCACACACCCATTAGAATGACCAAAATTTAAAAGAGCAACCTATCAAATGCTAGCAAGGATGTAGAGGAACTGATATTCCACACTGCTCCTGGGGAGAGAAAATCATGCAACCGCTTTGGCAGCTTCTTAAAAAGTCAGACATATACTTACAACATGATCCGGCTAGTCCACTCCATGATAGTTCCCCAAGAGAAATGAAAGTACTGTTGACCCTTGAACAACATGGATTCGAACTACATCGGTCCCACTTACACGTGAATTTTTTCCAGTAAATACAGTCAGCCCTTAGCATTCAAGGATTTCAATTCTGCAGATTTAACCAACCACAGATGGAAAACAATTATTTTTGCATTCCCAGCCACAGATTCCCACCCGTGGATTCCTAACTGGGATTAAAAATACTGCTTTGGCCCCTCAGTTGGTTGAATCTGAAGATGCTAAGGGCCTCCTGTAGTTAAGTTTGGGGGGAGTCAAAAGTTAGTCTGGAATTTTCAACTGCGGGGGCACTCCCAACCCCTGTGTTGTTTGTTCAAGGGTCAACAGTATATAGCTACATAAAGACGTGTACATGAATGTTCACAGTAGCTTTATTTGTAATAACAAAAACAGCAAATAGAAACAATACAAACGTCCATCAATAGGCAAATGGATAAATAAACTGTAGTACATCCATACAATGAAATACTACTCAGAAATAAAAAGAAATAGACTACTGATACATGTTACAAAATGAATGAATCTCAAAATACTTATGTTAAATGAAAGAAGCCAGACCAAGAGAAGAGTACATACTGTATGAGTCCACCTAGAAAATACAGAGTAATTTAGAAAAACAGAAAGCAGATCCATGGTTGTCTCAGAATGGGGCAGGGTGTTGGTGGGGAGGGTTGTAAAGAAGGAATTCTAAGGACAAGAGGAAAATATTTAGGGTGATGGATATGTTCATTATCTTGATTGTGGCGATGGTTTCATTAATGATATATTTGTCACTTTAAATATGTGTAGTTTATGTTAAGTATACCAGTTTATTTCGAAAAATAATTTGGGGAACATTGTATTTGGAATTTTTGTACAAAGCCAGTCTTCCTTAATGCATTTTATTGTTTTTTTTTTCTTGTAATTATATAACAACAAAGAAGTCCAAAATCAAAGCCCACAAATCATCTCTAGTTTCACAAATATTATGGGCTGCACTGGTGTCATCATTTTCTATGTGTGCCATGGTGTATGATGAGGATTAGTTTTGAAGGTCATTCTTCCATCCTTGTGAGACAAGTCAAGATCACGTCATTGGCTTTTAAGCACAAAGGGGTTTAATAGAAGGAGTATCCCAGGCACAGGGCTGAAAAAGTCCTCTCTATATGCTCTGTTTTGCTTTCAGGACTAGTGAGTGGCTGAGGTTTGGACAAAAAGAAAAGTGTCCACCGGAACTCAGCCATCTGAGGGCACCAACCCATGATCCTTGGTCCACATAAGCATCAGTGTCTGGTGTCTGCGTGTGGTGGTGGAAAGAGGGGGGACAAGGTGACCAGAAGTTTCCAGGTTCCAGGGTAATGTGACTTTGGCTAAGCAGACTCATCAGTGCAGTCCCAAAGCCCTCAGTGCCTCTGCATCCTGCTGCCCCAAAAGCGGCTGCCTCCCCCTTAGCACAGAGCGCATCTTCGGAGAACAGCTAGAGCCAGAGAGCCCTGAGGCCACTAGCCAGACACAGAATTTGACCTGGCCTTGTGTCCAGGTCAGAATGGGAAGCAGGCAATGGCTCTAGTAGTAGTGGCCGCAGTGGCTAAACCATGAAGACAGCTGCAAGAGGGGCTACAGCTGTCCCTGGCGTGGGATACTGAGTCCCATGTGTCCACATGAGGCAACAGAGCAGAGGGGCTGAGTGCCCCGTGAGATTCTACCTGGGGTCACGGCATGGGTTGGTCAATTACCAGCCATGTATCTTAAGCAGGTTACTTAGCTGCTCTGAGTCAGTTCCTCCATCAATAAAATGATGATAACAAGAATTACCACATACGGTTATGAGGATTCAAGGAATTAATATCTGCAAGATGTTTAGACAAGTACAAGTTTAGACACAAAGTTGCTCACTGACGTGTTTGCTGTTGTTGCATTATTCTACCCTTTTGAAAATCTCTTGTGTCCCTTCCTACACATCAGACAACTCAGGCTTTTATCCATGGCAGACCAAGATCTGACCACTTAACTCCTGGGTGTGACAGACATTTCCCTTAACACCTTTAGATTAAGTTCTTCAGGTTTGGAGTTCTTGCTGTTTTATTTCTGATGCCCTGGCTACAATAACCTCATAGAAAATCTAGAACCCAAGTCTCGGGGCAGGAAGGCCTGGGTGGTCCTGCTGTCTCCAGCAGGGGGCAACCAGCACCAGGCTATGCTTGGCATTACGTGGCCTTCTGCTGGGGAATAGTAAGCTGTTTACTGTAGGAGGGAGGGTGGCTCTGGTTCTGAAGTACAGGGTGGATTTGTGTGCACTGCTCCTCCCTGGACCTCTGACTTTGCTAGTTCCCATCTGTCTCACTTTCATAGGAGCCTCATGCCATAGGTGGCTTAGCCTCAGTCTGCAAAATAGGTATTGTCACCTCTGCCTCCTCCCCTGAGGTTTCCCACAAGTAAATTCCTAGCAGGAAGGACAGACTCCAGGCCCAGCCCACCAGCACAGCTGGGAAAAGCCATTTCCTCAAGTAGCAACACGGAAGAATGGGAGAGGCTGTTCCAAACCTGGAGCAGGCAGCCTGGGGCCAGCTGCAGATCCTCCCAGGCTTCTGTGTCTCAAACTGTCCAAAACCTTGGCCCCAGGGTGACCCTTCAATCCTTCACCAATAAGGGACTGCCAAGCCCACATTCAGGCCTACCTTACCCCCTCCCCACCAAACAGCACAAATGAAAGACAAAAAAAAAAAAATCAAGACTTTATTGTTTGATTAATAAACTGGTTTGGAGGGACAAGAGGAGAGGGTGTGGGGAAATACCCAGCTTTGATTAGTTAGAAACTCCTGTTAACTCTGTACAAAATGAATATTATAAAATCACATTAAAAAAACTGGTCAGCAAAGCAGCAGCCCTTGGGGAGGGTTCAAGGCACATGGAGGCTGAGAAATGGGGCCACTCTAGCCACTGGGGTGTGGCCAAGGGACTGGGGACCTGGTGGCTGCACCCCTCCCCTCCTTCACTATGAGGCTCTCCTCTCTCCCCATGTACAAATCACTACAAAACCGCCCACAATGGGGCATAAAGACCAGAGGCCAAGGCACTGCCAGAAATGAAGCGTTCCTGAGCCGAATGCAGAGCTATCCCTACCCTGGCTATAACCCAGGCCTGGGGAAGAGCCATCCTTATTCCCCACACCCAGGAATGTGGGCAGACACAGAACTCTGGAGCCGGAGAGGGCCTCAGGCTCTGCCCCGCAGGGAGGCAGTGGCCATGGGAGGCCTGAGCCGGCCACCAAAACAAATGCAGCCTGGACTTTGGTCAGTGCTGAGTGCGGGGAGAGGGGCCACCATCCTGTCCGGCCCCCATGACACGGTGCTGTCCCAGCACTGTCCTGCTGGAGCTGCTGCCCCAGGCTGGCCCTAACTGGGGTAGCACATGCAGCATCCCGTGCTTGCCGCCTCCACGCCAGACTTGGCCCCGGGCCCCAGGAGCCCATCGGTGACAGAGTACTCCATGATGATGTCTTCCACCCGGGTGATGTACAGAAACGTCAGCAGCACCCCCAGGAACTGAGGAGAAGGGGCAGGGTGGGTGAGAGCCTGATGGGGATCCGGGCAGCCCTCTCTGGCAGTCCCCAGTTTCCAGAAACACAGGCTGCCAGTCACGAGCTCTCATGGCACTGGTGACCTGGAAAACCCCCAGAGCACAGGCTTCTCCCCAGTACCCCTAATGCCTAAGAAGCCACAGCCTGGGCCCTCCTCAGCCTCCCCCCGAGCCCTGCCACCAGAAAACCCCTGAGACCCTCCCTATGCCCCATCAGCAGAGACTTCTCTGTTCTGGGATTCCTGTCTCCACCCCAGCTATGCTACTCACCACTTGGGGAACCTCGGGCAAGACACTTAACCTTGCCAAACCTCAGTGCCTCCTCTGTAAAATGGCCCGATAATAGTATCTACTGCACAGAACTGAAGGAGGCAGTGCGTGCGAAGCACTCGGAAGAACTTTATAAGCAATGCTATTGCCATTGGCCCTCTCCCTCCGGCCCTCCCAGGGCGAGCCCAGATTGCTGGTCCAAGAGCCTTCTTCACCCCAGCCCTTTAAACCTCCTCTGCACTGTAATCACCAGCCACTTTATCTGAACCCACAGTTTGCTCACCACTCCTACCACCAGCTCCCCTCCCTGAGCCCACCTGGGGAAGCAGGATGCCCAGCAAGAGGCCCGCCATGATGGTGTAGTTGTCCATGAACCAGATGAGCACGGCGTTGGTGCAGCCCCGCACGTGGATGACATTCTGTACGACAAGGCGCTACACAGGGAGGAGCCTGGCTGAAGACCTAGGCTGGCAGAGCCCCAGACCCAACTCTGCCACACATTCAAGGTCCCTCAGCCTCTCTGGACCCAGTTTCTCACATATAAAATGAGAAGTCTCAATGAGCAGTATTCTTCTCTAGAGAGCACTGGGAACATTGTGGTGGCCCTTCCCGATGTCACAGTGATTGGGGTTAGGGACTGAGGGACTTCAGAGCAATCCTTCAGGGCAATCCTACTTCACAACAATTTCCCTGCTGCCCCTTAGATGTCCTCCAGACAGTCATGTAGATGAAAACCCATCTATAAATATCTGAGCCAAAAGCCTAACTCCAGGCACATGTAAAAACCAAAGTGTTTTCTCTGTGGTTTTACTACACACCGAATTTTGCAGAAATACTTCTGTGTAAATTAAGAAATGATTATACTTCATTTTGTTCAGAACTTTATCAAGAATTGTTCATCTTTTTAAAAAACCATGTAAACTGCAAAAATAATGCCCATAGTACGCAAGTTGCCAACATAACACGCCCTCAAGGTAGCAGCTGTCCCTGTGGTGCAAAAACCTGACTGCATTGTCTTCTACTGCATCTACCTAATACCTGAGCATTTACATGTGAACTATGTTATACGGTTGTAAATTGTTTTATTTTATTTCTCCTTTATCTCGGTGAGATCATTATGTTACTCATTTTGAAATTACGTGTGTAGGTAGGTTACATTATGCAGGAATTTCATTTCGGGATAATAAATAGGGCATTACCAAGTAAGTATTATAAACTGGCCTTTGGGTCTGATGGCTTGAGAATCACTGCTGATCTATGGCTCTCCAACTCAAATGTGTCAGAATCACCTGCTGGGCCCCATCCCAAGAATGTGTGTTCTCACAAGTTCCCGGAAGGAATTTTGCTGCTGGTCCTGGACATCACTTGGAGAACCAAGTGCTCAGAGGCATCTCAAGTCATCATTATTTTTAGCTCTCTTCTCAGCTTCTCTCCTTGTCTAGGGAAGTTGCACAGGAAGCTGAGCCAGAGGGGATCCCCCAGAGGGCTCTCAGTCCTCCAGACTCCCGGGTCCCAGGCTGAGGCAGCCAGTGTGAACAGAGGCAGGCTGGTGCTGAGGGCACTGGGCACGAGGGTATATCTCACAGACAAGCCCACGGTAGGTGCTCAGCAAACCCCGCAGGCAACCTCTCCCAGCCTGGGGGTTCTTTGCTCCCTGAGCCCTTCTGCGTCTAAGTAGGGGTGGAAAACCATGGCAGTCCCTGGCTTCTCTCCATAGCCAGGGATGTTGGGAAATCTCAGCAGCCAAGAGCTTCACCCCTAGGAATTTCCCCCCACCCCAATCGCCCTGGAGATGGGACAGGAAAAGCAAGCTTTCTGGAGGAAAGGGATTTCAAAGACATTACCTCCTTGTCAATAGTTCTGTAGCCACACATAGTGTTGACAACTTCTGTCTGAAACAGAAATGTGTATTAGCTTACGCATGTTGCATACCCTCAAAGACACTATTATTCTCCCCATTTTATGGATGAAAGAACTGAGGTACAGAGTTGCACTGCCCAGTATGGATGGAGCCGGGATTCTCACACAAGCAGTCTGGCTTGAGTCTGCATCTTAACGTGCCCCCTCCAAGAAATGCCCAGGGAGAAAGTAGGAAGGCTAATTCCGTGGCACTTGGGTGGGCAGTCTAGGAACCCAGAGAAAAGCGTGCCTCCCCAGGCTCCCTGACTGTGGCCGTGCCAGAGGCATGGTTCTGTTGACACGATGATGCTCTGTCTCAGAGGCTGTGCTAGGCTGTTCCTGCTCCACAGGCTCTTCTGAAAGAAAACCTCAGACCACAGCCAGGACCCTGGCCAGCAGTGATTTACCTGAGGGCAAGGCCAGAGCCTTTGACCACACTTCCCTGCCCCTGCAGACCCCACCAGTGGAAGTGCCACCCAAAGTCCTTCTTGGGAAGAGTTGTTCTCAGCAACTCCCAGATGCTGATAAATCTAGGCACAGGAAAAGCTGTGGTTAGCCCTAGACCCCATCAACTCTTTTACCAGCAGGCATAAGTCACAGGGCTGGCAGAGGCACTTCCCATCATGTCTGTGGCCCTGTGCGGTCTCCTTCTATAAGATGAGGGAAAGCTAGATGGCCCAGTCTCATCCCTCTATAACTAAGTGAAAGCTGCTGTGGAGTCAGGGTGCCACAGGTGCCAGCAGTGATGCAGGAGAGCAGCAGAGTGGCAGTGTGGTCTCTGGCATCACATTACCTGGCCCAGATCCTGCTCCGTCACTTACAAGCTCTGTGACTAGCCGTAGGTGTGCTGCTGAGGGACTGGCGCATGAGGCATTCAATAAGTACTTGTTTAATGAATGAATGGATGGATGGATGCATGAATGAACAGGCTCGTTAGTCTCTCCCATAAGCAATTGTGATCAGTGAACTCACCTCACGGGGCTATTCTGAACATAAAGTGAGATACACATATAGTGCTTATCCCAGGGCTGAGCACACAGAAGAGCACAGGAACGCTGGCTGGAATAACTGTTCACAATTCTGGCTTCTGGAAAGGCAAGGAAGGGCACTACTCTCCTTCCAAAAGAGCCAGCTGGACCTCAGACATCATCCAGATCAGTCTAAATGTCAGGGCCTGGTGTGTGGGCAAAATAACCTCCCTCAGTCTTGACTGCCCCCAGGTGCCCTCAGACCCAGCGTCACCCGGCATCTACTTAGCATCGGTAAGAGTTTCTGGTCCCTGCAGGCCATGACCATGACCCCTATGGAGAGGGTCAGGCTGGGAGAAGGTGCGTGAAAGCCTGATGGGAGCGGGTTCTTTCTACCTCATTTGTTCACTCACTCAGTCATCCACTGAACAAATACTAATTAACACTTATTATGTGCCCATCTCTATTCTAGGTATTTGGAATATAGAGGAATAAAACAAAGTCCTTGCCTTCATGGAACTTATATTCTAAAAATGGAGACAGGCAATGAACATAATAATAAAATGCATGATATGTAAGGTGATAAAAACAACTTCGCTCTTCACTGTGGTTCCAGCCCTGGAGGTGGGACCATGGCCCCTGCCCTCAGAAAGCAGACACACAGCTGGCAGAGGCTTCCTTTACATGAAGATTCCAGAACCTTTCCCTTGGCCTTGGGGTGGGGGTGGGGAGCTCACCTCCCCCTTCCAGGAGCAGTGCATTCAAGCCTGAAGGCAGTTGGGCAGGAAGAATTCTCTCTCCCTCAGGAGAGGGACAAATCCTACCCAAATTTCCTATAGGAAGTCTGGTATAAGACATTTCTTTTAAAGCCAAGAGCTAAAGGAAAAAATGACTTTCCTTGAAGAACTGGTGTGTTTTCTTCTGTTGAATAGTAATAGACTATATCTCCCTTTTACCTTTGGCTGCCAGGAAGCTCTGAGCCACAAGGCTCATTTCCAGTGAGCCTTATAGGCTTACATATCAGTATTTTGTAATTTTCTCCATCATCTGTGCCTCCTATTTTAAAATATGTTTTCCATGAAACTAATTTTATTTTCGATTTTAGGTTTTTATTCTATGTATTTCCTGTGTACTCATTCAGATCCTTAGTTAAATAAATAGGTTCATACACAAATGGAACAGATTCCTCTGAAGAAGGAAACACCTGTTTTACTTTTAGAGAAAATTATTCAGGTGTGAGAGACATAGGGAGAGCAAGACAGTTTTTTCTTTTAGGACCAGAGATGACCCAGTCAGGTGACGGTCGCATCCCCACTTCAGAGTTCCCATCCAGATGCTAGCTTAAGATCCCATTTCTCTGCAGATGGCAGCCATGTTTATACTCCCAACCTGGACCTCTCCCCCAGACTCCAGACCCCTACATCTAACTGCCTGTTTCACACCTCTGCTAGAACACCACACAGTCTCTCAACTCCTTATGTCCACACTGAGATGCTGACACCTCCAATCTGCATCACTGCAGTCCTGCCTCTCAAACAGTGATAGTCCTGCCTTTCTTGTGGCACAGGCCAAATTCTGGGGGTCTTCGATTTCCTCTTTCACCTACCTCCCACACCTGATCTGTCAGCAAATCCTGTCGGCTTACTTGCACAACAGCCAGAATCTGCCCAGGTTTTGCCACCTCCACGACTGCCCACTGGCTCTAAGCCTGTGTCTCCTCCTGCCTGGAGCGGTGGGTGCTGTGAGGAGCCGCCCAGAACCCCTGTAGCTGCTACTGGGAACACTGCCAGGAGGAGCCTTTAGGGGTCAGCCCCCTGCAGTGATTGTTGCATTTAGTTAATTTTATATGTCAACTTGACCAAGCTTTGGGGTCCCCAAATATTTAGCCAAACATTATTTTGTGTGTTTTTCAATGATATTAATCATTAAATCAGTAGACTGAGTAAACAGATTGCTCTCCCTTATGTGGGTGGGCCTCATCCAATCAGTTAAAGGCCTGAGAAGAACAAAAAGGCTGCCCTTCCCTTGAGTAAGAGAATTCTTCTTGCCAGGCTATCTTCAGATATGAACTGAAACATCAGCCCTTCATGGGTCTTCAGCCTACCAGCCTTCGGACAGGAACCACACCATCAGCTCTCATGGATCTCAGGCCTTTGTACCCAGATTGGAACTAAAGCACTGGCTCTCCTGGGTCTTCAGCTTGCTGACTTACCCTGTACTTCTTGGGACTTGCCGACCTTCATAATTCCATGAGCCAATTCCTTATAATAAATCTCTTTACACACACACACACACACACACACACACAGAGGCATACATCCTATTGGTTTTGTTTCTCTGCTGAACAGAGCCAGCAAGTAAGTCCCTTCCTGGCTGGGATACTGTACTCATGAAATGCTAGACCTGTACTCATGCACCGCTGCATGTGGGGCGTGAAGGCCTGGCCTCCCTGCCCCAGTATGGGGCAGCTCTGAGGGATCATTCCATAGATTCAGCTGAGGTTCCTACTGAGCCTGCATCATTACCCAGCTTCTCCCTCTGCCAAACCCTGCTTCTGCCACCTCTCTTATAGGTGTCAATCTTGAGAGCACCTCCTACTAAGCCTCCTGCTCACTAATCTGCATCTCAGAGCCCGCTTCCTGGGCAGCCTGACTGTGACACCTGGTCTGCTGCACTAGCACCTGACAAGACTCCCCACATCCACCTCTGCCCCCACGGCAGCAAAGGTGATCCTGGTAAAGCCACTCAGCCACTGAATCCCTGTCACTCCCTGCCACTCAAGAGAACACCAAAGTCCTGACTGTGGCCTTCAGGACGCCCACGACTTCTCTGACTTCATCTGCTACTATCTTTACCACCCCTACACACTCCACTCACACTGCTCCAGCCACGCTGGTCTCTGTGCCGTTTCTCATACACACCAGGGCAATTCCCACCTCAGGGCCTTTGTACTTGCTGTTCTCACTGCCAGGAGTGCCCCTCCCCGAGATATGCATGGCTTACTCCACTTTCTCCTTCAGGGTTTTACTAAGAACCCATCTTTTCAATGTCTAAAATTGTAATCCTCCATGCTCCTGCTTTATTTTTATACTTAGCATTTATCATTTAACATACTTTTTATTAATTTTGTCAGTTTTCCCCCACTAAAACATAAGCTCCATGTGGGCAGACAGTTCTCTGTGTGTTTGCTATACTCCTAGAACCAAGAACCACATCTGGCACATAGTAGGTCCTCAATTAATACTTGTTGAATGAACGAACGAATGAATGAATGTTGGCTTCCACATCTCGACTTGGACATTCAGGTGTCATTGCCCTGGGCGACAAAGTTCAGGATCACCTCCCAGAGGCCTCTCTGAAAACCCTGGTCTCCTCCCCAGCACTGCCCTGCCCAGAGAGCTACCTTAAAATGGCAGCTAAGACTTCCAAACAAACTTCTCCTTCTGGTCCAGCTTTTTTAGGGCTAGTGCACTTAGCACTGTCTCTGACTCATGGACAAGGCCCCCACTCCCACCAGCAGCTGCTCAGTTTACAGAATTCGGCAGTGGGCACAGAATGGTGGAAATGTCAGAAGAGAAATTTTCCATGACTATTCGGAGCATGAGTAATTGTAAATCTCTCTGCCTCATTCCAGCCCAGAAACCAGGAGTTTTCTGGACTCATTAGTCAAATGCAGAGGACTGACGAAGCCTCTCATTTGTAAGTGCCGACTGCACAGGACAGCCTCCCAAGTGGCTAAAGGAGTAACAGAGCTGACAGGACCCTGCTGGGGAGAGGCAGAGGCTGGCATTTACATCTTCAGACCCCTTTCCACACACTTTGTTACTGATAATCACCAGGCCCTCAAGCCCAAAGTCCACTGGAGATGCCCAAAGTGTAGGCCCTGCTCTGGCCCTCCAGCTAAGGCTACAGAGCCAGCCGCCCCTACTAAGCACCCCAGCCTGGAACCCTCTCCCACGCCTCACCTGTCCTGTCCAGATTCCAGAGCACAGCTCTGATGATGGCTGCCTGCATTTCAGCCCAGCCCTATCAACTTTGGGCAAGACACCTAACCTGTTGGTGCCTCAGTTTCCTCATCTATGCAGTAGGTAAAATAATAGTACCTATCTCACAGGTTTGCTGATAGGACTAAATGAGTTAATACAACTAAAGAATCTAGAATAGGCCTGCGATGGTGAGTGCTCCATAAATGTTAACTACCACTCCTAATAAAGAGAAGGCCCCCCATCCCCACCCCCGGGTTTACCTTTTTCAGTAGCCCTTGAGGCCCAGAAAGTCTTGGCAATGACCACCATCTGCTGCTTACCCCACTCACGCGCCCGCCCCACCCCTGTCCTGAAAGACGAGCTGGGGTAGCTCCGGGAGCAGTGGGTACCGTGTTTCTGATGCAGCAGGTGTAGGGCACCCCACAGGCCAGGGGTCCAGGGGCATTGCAGTCGTGATACTGGTTTTTGCTCCAATCTTGGTAGTCTTCCCCGCCACAGCACTTAAACTGAGAGAGGAAGCAAGCAGGGAAGGGAGCTTCCGTCAGCACCAAGGCCCAGGGCAGACAGCAGGAGGGGGCCCTGGTGGGAGACAATGCAATTTACGATGTGACTCACCCTGGCGGGGTGGGGGGGCTGCAGGGAGCACATGAGCCATATGTTGTCAGGTCAGAGCTCTCCACAAGCAGTGTGACTGCCCAGGAGGGTAGTGAGCACCCCGCTTCTGGAGAGGTATGTAAGCCAAGGCTGGGAAACCTCTCAGCAGACTGTTGGGGTAGAGACTAAAGGCTGGAAGGCAAAGTCCTTCCCTTGACAAGGGGACTCCATCTTCACGTCTTCTGTGCAGGTGTCAGACCAAAGAAGCTGGCTTTTGAGTTCTCAGATGCCAGGATTCTATGGAAGCCCCTACCACCCAGCAGCTCCGGCACCACGCTGATCTGCTCCTCACCAGCCCCAGCGCCACCTGTCCTGCCTTTAGCGACAGAGCACACACCACTCCTTTCCTGCCCTGGGCTCAGGACTGGGTGATGGTAAGGCAGGTGTCATTTTCCCCTTAGCTTCACACCTCCTTGCATCTCCCCCTGAAGTGGTGCCAACACCTGGGAGAGTAGTTACTCTGCTGGGGAGCGGTGTGCGCCAGGCATTCTTCTGGGCACTAGAGAGACAGAATGAGCAAAGAAACATGGCCCCAGCTCACGTGGGACACATTGCAGGGGAGAGAGACAGGCATGAGAATGACATGAAAAGGCTGGTGAGGTAGTGCTGCATGCCAGGAATACGAAAACACGGGAAAAGTGAGGGAAAAGGCAATTTTAGGTCAGGAGATCTGGAAAGTCTGCTGAGAAGACATTTAATTTGAAATACAAACGACAAAAAAAAGTCAACATGTGCAAAGGCCCGAAGCAGATGTCGTATTTCAGAAGCAGGCACAGAGGCCAGTGCGTCTAGAGCAGAGTGAGGAGGGTAGAGGGGGTGAAGTTGAGAGGGCAGCACAGGCCAGACTGCATAGCCTTGTCAACGTGACTGGGATCATACTCTGAGTGATAGGAAGTCACCGGAGGGTTTAAACAGGGGACTGATACAGTTGGAGGTCGTGGTAGAAACACAAATCAGACACCTGTCCACTGTCCCCATGGCATCTTTTAGGCTATTAGGTTTTAGGACCTGGCGGTGTCTCTCTGTGGTGCAGTGCAAAGGGCATCTGCCTTGCAATCAGACAGATCAGAGTTCAAATCCTCACACCACCACTCCTAGCTGTGCGACTTCAGGCAAGTCGATCAGCCTCTCTGAGCCTCAGATCCTCTCTGGAAAGCTGGAAGAGGTTTTGCACAGCTGAGCTGAGGATTACAAAGAGAAGTTGTGCATATGATGCACCCAGCACAGGGCATGACACCAAGCAGATGCCCAGTGAGTGTGAGTCATCCCCACCCCCCACCATCCCACCCTAGGAGAAATGAAATCCCCAAGCCAGCTAAGGACTGGTTCCAATAAAAACATCTTGCTCCACCCATCGGCCAGAGCTGGCAGCCACATCCCTGGCAGAGAAGGGCCTCCCAGAGGCTGCACCTGTTGTGAGTGACTACAGCGGAAGCTTGAGCCAGAGAAGTGACCACTGCGGGTGGCCCTGAGGACAGTGAGATATTGGTTCCCACTGAGGACTAGCACGGAGGACCAGGCCAGCTGAAGCCCCCGACATCACAACCCAGGGAGTGCTGCCAGGGCTAAGTAGGCCCTCAGCCCTCAAGCTCTTCTTGTCCCCACCTAAGAGAACATGAGGACGATGACACTTACTGACTCACGTCTTACCTGGCACTGCTCTAAGCATTTTGAATTAAATCAAGGCAATCTCACAATGATGCCAAGAGGAAGGGACCACTGATATCTCCCTGATGCAGATGAGAGACCTGAGGCTCAGGACTAAATGAGATTAATGTGTAGAAGTCACCAAGAGCAGTGGCTGGCCCTGCAACTGCTATTATTACACTAACAGACTTGAGTGGACCTTGGGGGAGAGGGACAGCATCCCAAAATGACATCATCACATTCAAAGAAGGGTCATGAAGGAAAAGGAGAAGTCTTGTTCTGTTCCCCAATGCCAGGGGAAATGGAATCAGGGAAGAGCTCTCTCCACACTGGGGCTGTCCTTGCCTCAGCAGGGAGTGAGCTTCTTGCCACTGAAGGGACTTGGCAAAGGGACTTTTGAATTGAGCGGCTTAGAGGTCACTGCTGTCTCAAAGAAGGAGGATCTTTGCCCACTGGAGATGGGAATTCTGGGATCCTATAAGGTGGCTTATAGCTGCACCTGACCTTGTTCTTTTTTTGAGGCTGGAAAGGGTCCAAGTAACTGAAGAAGGAAAGATAGCACAAGGATATTCTGGACCAGGAGCAAGGGCAGAAGGTCAGGCCCCATCTTTGGTGGCCATGCATGGTCCACCCTTGCCTCCCAACTTGGCCAGCCATCTGCTTTGGGAATAGATAAGCCATGTGATCCTTCACCCTCATCCTCTTGAACAGGGTCCCTAATGAGGTACAATGGCATGGGAGGCGCATTTCTGATCCAAAGAGCCTAGCTCACCTCTTTCTGAACAAAGTCCATGATGTTTTTGAAGTCCAGATCATCATAGTAGTTCTCGATTCCTCTTCGAATGTTGTCATTCAGAAAGTCAATTGTCTATTTAGATGGAGAAATTATAAGCAAAGAGGACCACAAACACGCCAGAGTCCAACCCAAGAGTTCCCAGAAATCCTGATCGGAACAGAATGCCCAAGTGCCCAGGTAGACCCCACCCTTGGCTGCACTCCCCGCCATTCCCAGCTGCAACACCCACGACCTCCCTGCCCACAAACCCTCTCCATGCCCCCAGTGTCCATCTAATCTGAGTTCCTCTGCCATGTTCAAGTAAGAGTGATTCACTCCCATTTCCTTTAGACAACACAGGCCCCAAGAAGCGAGGCACAGCTTCTAAGCAGCCATGCCAGGCTGGCACATGGCTGTCCCAGTTCCTGGCCTGGTGTTCCTTCTCCCACCCAAAGAAAGGCCTGAGCTGAACCTTCTCTTTGCCTTCCAGGCCTCCTCTCCACTCTCCTCTACTATCCAACCTCTTGTGTTACAAATAAGGAAACTGAGGCCAGAATGGAGGCTTGACTCTCCCCAGGTCACAGAGCAGGCTGATTAGGGGCCCAGCCAGGACTAGAAAACAGGTCTTCTTACTTCCTGCATGGGTGTCTCCTCATCACAGCAGCACTCTGGCCCAGACCAAAGTGTCCACCACCCAGCTCAGGCCGGGACAATCCCCACCGGGAAGAGTGCTGGCACGCTGTCCTCTCCCAGTCACGCTGGGCCTTCTGGATCAACGGCCTGGCTGTTGTGCTGAGATCTGAGAGCACAAAAGGCCCCAACGCAGGAAGGGGGGCAGCGAGAATGTGGGCAGCCCAGCTCCACGCTCATGGTGACAATCAGGGCTTTCAGAGCAGGGAGGCCCGCGTATCATCAGAGATTATGCTGGCACAAAGGGAGCATTCTTGGCTCTGGAGCCAGACGATCCCCGGGGGAGGCGCCCATGGGTGCGCTGGGCAAAAGGCCATTGCAGGCCCTGTCACAGCTACTTCCCCTCTCTGGGCCTCAGTTTCCCACTTGTTAAGCGGCTCCAAGGGTCAGAGACTAGGGGCTGGCAAGCCTCGTTGTCAGGAACAGTCCATGAAGCCACGCAGGCCTCAGGTACTTCACTTAACATTCCAGCCTCCTTTTCCTCACCTGCAAAATGGGAAGGGCCATCCTCTGCCTTGCAGGGCTTTGAGGTTTAAATAACACTGCGAAAGTGCTTAGCAGGATGACACAGTAGGTCCTAGACTTATTATTATAGATCTTTTTCTCTTTTTCCAGGAGACACATACCTTAGAGTACCATCTCATACCTATCACGTCATCAGTAGAAAATGGCTAGTTCCAAGTGAAGCTGAGGCCCCAAGTCTTGCCCCAAAACCTGCTACAATGGGGGCAGCCTCCGGGGCAAGAGCTGGCCCCCGGCCTGGGACTTCTCACAAATACCCTGCATCCCAGAGAGGTGATGTGACTTGTCCAAGGTCACCCTGCTGGTCACTGGCAGAGAGATACTAGAATCAAGGTGTCAAATCAAACTCAACCCGATACACTTTAAGAAGCCAAGATGAGAGTCTATGGCCATGCCACCCTGAACAAGCCCGATCCCATCTGATCTTGGAAGCTAAGCAGGGTCGGGCCTGGTTAGTATTTGGATGGGAGACCACCTAAAATGACCAGGTGCTGTAGGCATAAAAATAAAAAATAAGGGATTGTAAGCTGACAAGGTCCTCGCAATCTGTGAGGTCAACGAAGGGTTGCCTTGCCTAAAAAAAAAAAAATGAGAACCCAAGGGTCAGTTTGGGGCCGTCTCCCCAACCCGTCTTCCCAACCGGTTTGAGGGAGAAAGGCACAAAGGATACATTGGCCAAGTCCTTCCAGACACACTGCTCAAAGCCAAGGTAATGAAGCAGGCCAGCTCAGGGAAATCGATCTCTGGCCAGAAGGAAAACCTGCTGACAATAACAAGTCTACTCTGGAGCAGACCCGGGAGCTGAGGAAGATGGGATGGCAGCCTTGGGAGGCCTGGCCCTCTCCATGTGGAAGCCTCTGCACTCACCAGCCCTCAGCTCTGTACCCATCTGGCACTGGGCAGGGGCTGGTAGAACAGCTGTTTGCTGGGCCTCAGTTTCCCACTTGGGCAGAACAGGGACCCACCAGGCCTCAGGCCCACCCTTTCCAGAGGCCTCCAGTTCATGAAGCCCTTTCTAACCTTCTCTGGGTGATGAAGGGACAGGCAGGCCAGCTGGAGCATAGTTGGGGTGTCTAAGAAACAGAACACCAGGATGGGGCCAGTCTGCCACCCGGGGAAGAACAAGGAATGAGCTCATGGCATTAAATGGCATGCTGCAGGGGGGCCTTGACTGAGCTGAGTTACAGGGGAGCAATGTCAGGGTCAGAGACATACCTAAAGCCACGTGTATGAGGGTGTGTCAACTGGTTTCCTTCTACTCTCGAGGCACTTCTGCACCTACTCCAGCCCACTGGCCACTTCCCAGCACTCCACTGGGTCACATGTTGCTTGGACATTCCCCAGAGCTGGAGAAGGGGGTGGGGAGGATGATGGCAGGAGGCCCAGGGCAGGGTCAGCAGAGGGGATGCCCAGTGGCCGGATGTGGTGAGTGGCCCCAACCTCTCTCCCCCAACCATCTCAGTCTCTGAGCACTTTCCAAAGCCGCTGACCCCAAAAGAGGCCTCTGTGAAAATCGAGCCTTCCATCTGATCAGCTGAGCCGGGCCCCTGTGGGGAAGGGAGGCCCCACTGGAGGCCTTTCGAAATGGGCAGGAAGAACAGATGGTCTCAGGCCCCATAGGCGGCAGCTGCCCCCAGTTCCCATCAGGGACCTCTGTGTGTCATGCTGGCTCTTGTGTGTGTGTATGTGTACATGCACTGTCTCTGGCATCATGTGTGCACGTGTGTGTGTGTGTGTGTGTGTGTGCATGTGTGTACCAGAGTCATGTAGGACATTTAGGTGGTCCCTAAGCTGTGATGGGGGTGGGGGATGGATGAGAAACTCCAGTGAGGCAGGCCAGTTGTGTAGTTCATTAATGACTATAAAATGCTCTGCTGTATTGAGCTATGTTCTGAGGGACCCGGCAGGGGGGCAGGGAGGGGGATACTCAGAGGATGAGCCTTGTGGAGCGTGGCAGGGAAGAGAGAATTCTGGCTTCCTCTGCTGCTCCCTGAGGCCAAATGCACCCAGGGCCACCCCTGCCCTGCTCTAAACCAGGTCACTCCAACAGGGGCAGCTCCGACGAGGACTAGAAAACTACCTTTCACAAATGGCTGGCATGGCCTCAGAGGCCACGGGGCCTGTGCTAAATTAAGCTAAGAGTAATAAGCAAACATCAAAGGCCACAGGATTTTCAGAGCATGCTGTTTAAGCCACCAGATTCAAGCTTTAAAGAATAGTCCTATCTAGTTCTTTCTTTACCATCTAGTGTTAAAGATACCTGAAGCCTCCACATAGCCGCTCTCAGCAGAGGTGCTTAGAGTGTTTTTAAATGAATCCAAGGAATCGAAGGATGTGGGGGGCATGTGGCAGCAGGATGGGAAGCAGAAAGAGCAGGAAGAGGACAACAGAGGAGGGGAAGGGGCGGCAGCTGGAGCCTCCCGCCGGGCCTCTGGGATGAAGATGTCCTGGTTTCCTGGTTTCCGGCAGGCTGCCAGCTTCCACTGCTTCTGTGTCTGCTTCTGAGGCCCAAGGCTGCTGGCAGCCCAGCTGAACCCATGGTGGCTGGCCTGCGTCTCATAACATGAAGCCAGCATCTCATAACATTGAGCCAGCATCTCTCAGTTTCCCTCAGTCCTCCCAGAAGGTGGGGATTCATCTTCTTGCCCCCAAACCCCAGCCTCTGCTCAAGCCCTAAGATGGGCCAAATCTGCCAACAAAGGGTCAAAGAGAAACTAGGTATATTTGGAATTTGTGCCAGACCCTTCCTCAGACCTGGCAGGGTTCACAGGTTTAATCCCCACAGTGGGAGAAGTTGTGCTTCAGCTTCCCAGGTATTTGGGGCTCCAGCTCTCACTCCCAAATAGCTGTCCACAGGGGGCACACTAGTTGTGGGAGTCTGGCCTGATAGATCAGTACAGGAATTTCTCTACTTTACTCTCGCTGAGAAGGATATAAATGTTCAGGTACTCGGCCAAGCAGGCCATACTGCCATCTCCTTTCTCCCTGGCCCTGACCTCAAGGTCATGCCCAGAGACAGCTCGTCCTAGTACCATGACAAAATAAACACAGGCTGGTTGCTGCCCACAGTTTCCATGGCCTGGTATTGGGTGTGACCATGGCATTCTCTCATCCGCGCCCCTGGTGGTAGAGGGAAGGTAGAAGGAAGTAGGGGTACAGATGGGTGTCCCTGCTCAGCTCTGTCTGACTGGGAACAAAAGCTGTCCTCCTCCAACACCCCCGACACCCTCAAGAGAAGCCCCAGAACAAGCTGGGATAATGGTAGGTCAAGAGGGGTGAGACTCAGACGAATCGTGGAGGTCATTTAGGTTCTCTTCTCATCAGCTGGGGTTAAGATGCTGTACTTCCGCTTCTAATGCCCAGGCCCTCAGGGCCACCTGTTCTGTGCCCAGCTCCTCAACGCACGGGCACTAGACCCCATACAAACAGAGAAGCCACTTCAGTCTGTCAGTGGCACCACACTGAGGACAGCCATTTGGGAGGGAAAGCTGGAGCCCCAAATACCTGGGAAGCTGAAGCACAACCTCCCCCACTGCGGGGATTAAACCTGTGACCCCGGCCAGGCCTGAGAAGGGTCTGGCACAAATTCCAAATATACCTAGTTCCTGACAGCGGAAACCTTATCCAGAGTTAGGGGGTGATGGAGAGTTTCTTCCTCATACCCAGGAGTCTGTTTATCTTTTGCAGCCTTGTCTGCAGCTCTTCTGAGAACCCAGTGTGAAGTCAATAGCCTGATGATTTGTCCTCATTTGTTACCATAAATGGATTCCTAGAGTTAACAGGTAGCCTTTGGGGCTGGACTTGTTATCATGTGGCTCAGAGTAATTTGTCTTCTCCTCTTGGTGAGAAAAAAAATGGAATTGGGAGTTCACCTCCTCCCA